TTTTTTCCAATATAGTGCCGTTTCATCGTCGTTAAAAATCTGATCAGGTGACTAAGGAACTTATGGGATGTTCTTGAACGGAAACCGCGCTGTAAGAGTACCGCRTTARAGGAGGGCTGTCGCAATTTCAGCACCGCGTTATATGGAAATCGCGATCTGCGAGTGCTTAGGAGCGATATTAGATCGATATTATCGATAGCAAGTGTTATAGGAGGTTTGACTGTACTATATTCTTTGATAGTATTGTACCGTCACCGCGTTAAGTACCTACTATCGCCCACTTGTGGTCTTGGTAGTAACAAAAGTGAAACTGGGTAGATAAAAAAGGGGACTTGTGAGCTCTTATGTACTGTTTATTCTTTAATGTTCATGTAGAAAACTTATAATGTGATATCGACAAAGTTGTTTTTTTTTTTGTAAAGAATTCCTGCAATTGATAAGGCAGAAATCTGTATATAAGTATATATGATATACCACAGAAAAGTTGGCATAGAACCTCACTAGCAGACAAAAATAAATAAGTATTCTTAACTGCTCACTAATTCTTTAATGAAAATCCATAATTGCTCGTTTTATTAATTAATTATATAATTAGTTATAATTAATTGAAAATACAAAAACGTTTTTTCCTATTTCTAAGCAAAGCAATGAAGTTTGCAACAGCAGAAAAAAATGAATAAGTGCTTTTAATTGCTCACTCATTCCTCAATTAAAATCCATAACTGCTTACTTTTTATTAATCAATTATTTAATTAGTTATTAATAATTGAAAATACAAAAACGTTTTTTCTCAATTCTAAGCAAAGCAATGAAGTATTCTATGTGTTTTTCTTGTCAATCAATTGCTGACTTTTTGTTTGTCCGGCTCCTCAATTTTATTTTATCAAATATTTTTTATTTATCGTTAATTAGTTGAAAATAATTATTACAGTTTGAATAATTATGAAATGGCGACGTCATGAGTGGATATGTTATACGCATGCGCAATTTGCAAAAAAATAAAAATAAAGTTAGTATACCTGTAGGGGATTTATTTAAAGTTGATTTCCAAAGTAACAACCTATAGGATAGTTAAAAGTAATAGGGTAATCGTTTAAAATGTATAAACAATATAGATAAATATTTTGTAAATAATAATTTTTCTTTCAAATTGGGAGCGGATGACGCTTTTAGTCGCCATTTAAGTTATCGCTTAACTACTCTTTAAAAATATTATTTTTTCCACTCTTATTACTCAAATTTTTCTATATATGTAGATACTAATAATAGACTAAGGAATGTTTTCCCAATTATGTGCTTTATCATTTCTTTTTTTATGCGTGTATTTATACTTATTCATTATTCGGCCGATACTTATCGAAACCAGTATTTGAGCCTCGAAATAAGCACTTTGTGTATTGTTCGATTATCGCTCTACAAAGGAAAATCTATTCTCAAAATATATTCTCTTTTTTATATATTCCAAAAATATTTAACTAGGATTTTAGGAAATTTTGGAATGGAATTTTACTCAGTATTTGCTTTGCTACTGAAATCGAAACATTCTTTTCGAAACTTCCAACGATATAAGAACAGATCTCGTCTAAAAAGTACAATTTATAGAAATTTATTCAATAATTTCTTATTTGTGAATAATAAAAATTAAGTGTCATATTTTTCTAAAAATCCTCAAAATGGAGGAAGAATTTTTTTCGGAAATATATGAAGATTCATTGTCAGATCTGGCTATAAATCTCATATATGTATAGGAGTTGTAAAGTTCCATTTCATATTGAAAAGTGTTTTTAAGGATACCATAAAAAAAAAATATTAACTTTTATAATTTGTTATTTGAAGATTAGTGATATAATGTATAATTCTTAATCCTAATATTTACTGTTACAATATACATACATCAACACTGAAATTTGAAAATTATTGACAAATATTTTTATAATTTTAATAAATAATAGAAATATGTGTAGAAAGAAGTATAATTGCAAGCCCTCATTATTGTTTATACACAAGTCCTATGTTCCCTTTATTAAAATTTAATACTGAAATATTAAGCAAATAACACGTGGTGTATGGTTTAGACTGGGAGATTCTGAGAACCTTTGGACGTACTCCCACTCTAAGGCGTCACTTATATTTAGAAGAAAGACGGATGATGACCAATCATGGATCGGAAAAGGACTAGGACCGCCCTGCGTTTCCTTTTTCCTTCCAAAGGAGGCATGATAGTGATAAGAAACTATTGTTGTTGCGACCGATGCCTTAATTACTTTATTAATGACATAGTATCGACAAATAGTAGAAACATTATCTCTTGTTAAATCTCAAAAAATTAGGTTCCGCTGGTTCCAAAGTTATGCTGAATTTTAMGTTAACATTTTCTACTGAAACTGCATCGTCTATTCGAACAGCAAATTTTCTTAACACAGTAGCAGCAATAACCTTCATTTCGATCATTGCAAATTTGTTTCCTGAAAAAGCGATATTCAATAAAAATGTACTTAGTTGATCAACTGTTTAGAATATTATTTCAAGAATGAATAAACATGTGCTTTTACCTATGCATCCTCTTTTCCCAGAACTGAATGGTAAGAAACATTTTTGGTTGTAATTTCCAGGCAAAAACCTGTCAGGATTAAATCTTAAAGGCTCTGTCCAATACTTTTCTTTTCGATGAAGAGTAAATATTGAAAAAAGTACAGAGCAGTTTTTCGGTATTACAAGATTTTCATCCACTTGATAARATAAATAAATACATATTATTCTTACATAAGACATTAATGTCAATCGAAAAAATAATGTACAAAAAATATTATATCATGTGTAAGAGTACCTTTTGTATCGCTACATAGTGTTCGTCCAATAAATGGAATAGAAGGGAATAAACGTAAAGTTTCCTTTATTACTCTTTCCAAATATTTCATTTTGTTGATATCTTCCAGTGTAATAGGAACATCATTAGTATCACTTGAGCCGTAAATATCGTACAACTCTTCGTATGCTTGTTGCTGTAATTAGAAAAGTCGAATTCATAATACAAGTTTTGTACATACATACATTTGATTTTTAAAAGATAATAAAAAATAAGGTAATGTTTAATTGTTATCTGTACGTACTTGAATGTTCGGAAACGAGGCCAGCATTAAAAATAAGAATGTCAGTGTACCAGCAGTAGTTTCTCTTCCCTAAAAAATAATACAAATTGGTTTTTTATTTTTAATGAATAAAAAGCAATTGTCTTTAATATTAAATAGACTACACTTACTGTTAAAATTATTGTATTGATTTCATCTCGAATACCTTGCTCTGAAATTTCTCCGTTCTCGTTAAGTGATATGAAAAGCACGTCGAGAAAAAAACTTTTGTTTTTACCTTTATTATCAGAAGTATATAATATATCATTTAGTATTGTTATAAAAGTATACTATCTATAAACTTATTCATAATAGAACTTTTTATAAAATTGTTATTCTTACTTTTATCTAGTCCTTTTGATTCTTGAAGAATTTTACCTTCTTTTATTGTTTTCCTTTTTTTTGTTACAATCTTGACGAATGAAAAATATATATATATGTGTGAGAAAAATATATTGTTATATTAGAGATCATATATTTGTGAAAGAAAATAACAATTTAACATAAAAATGATCTTTTTACGTATACCTCGCTTGAGATTTTATTAAGAATTTGTAGAAGTGCCTTTATTCTTTTTCCCAGAGATGAATTGTTAAATGTAACGTCAGAATGTAACCATATATTGAGAATTCTTTGCATAACTAAGTCTATCCCTCTAATTCAGAATAAATATAAAAAAGTAATAAAATATGAAGTAACATATTAAAATATATATAAGTATATAAATATTCTGTTAATTAATACTCAATAATATATTCCTGAAATTTTAATTCCAAATTGTTCTGCAAATCAAAATCAATTTCCAATAGGCTATCTGTCAGTACGAAAAGAAAATATTTATTTAATAAATTTCAATCCACACAAACTTATTTTTTAGTCCATTGATATTTTTTTTACTTTTTAGAATCTCCAAATCTCACCAAATATTATGCCCATTGTACATAAACGTACGTAATAATTGAAATTTAGGTTTTTTCAGTTATTAGTTTCTAAATTATTAGTTAGTCTGTTTGAATTTTTTACTATTGAGTCCACATAAGTTGAAATCATTTGTTTTTTGAATACTGGATTTAAGATTCTTCGATGAATTTTCCATATTGACACTTTAAATAAGAGAAAGTTTCTTATTTAAATTTATTGTTTTTTTTTTATTTTGAATATTTCGTAATTAAAAAATTGGGAAATGATACCCTATAGTTTACCTGGAGCAGTAATCAACCCGTTACCGAAAAAAGGTTTTATAAAGTCATACAACTGGCTTTTCTCAAATCCATAAGATCTGTTTGATAAAATCTGAAAGGCAGACAAGAAATAAAACAAAATTAAAATATAACGAGTAAAAAAATATTCAACATTTGTAAGCGCATTATAAGCTGTAACATTAAACTTGATGAATCTTACGCTAATATTTTCAGGATCATCAATGATTATGACCAATTTTGGGCCTATCCAGAGTCGCCACGGCGAAGAATACTTTGCAGATGTTTTTATTAATTTATGAGTTATATCTAAGACGAATTCATTTAATATAGCGATCGCTTAAATATAGATATTTT